TAAATCTCATATCTTATGCAAAAATTAACTCAATGGGTCTAAGTATAAAAACTAAAACTTTTAGAAGTAAACAGAAGACCTTTGAGACCCAGGGTTTCACAGTGAGCTCTTAGGTATACACCAAAGACAATGCATAAAACAAAAATTTGATAAACTGGGCATCGTCAAAATTAAAAACTTTTGTTCTGCAAAAGATATTAGGAGAATGAAAAAACAAGCTGTAGACTGGGAGAATATATTTGAAAAATCATAGGTCAAGGACTTGTACCCAGAATATATGAAGAAAACACAATGGTAATTAACCCAGTTTTTTAAAGGGGCAAAAGATTTAAATAGACACTTCACCAGTTCCACATCATTAGCCACAAGGGAAGTGCAGACTCAAACTGTGATGAAATACTACACATCTATTAGAACAACTAAAATTGAAAAAAAAAAATAGTGACAATACCACATACTGGCAAGGATGCAAACAGCTGGATCTCTGAACACCACTGCTGAGGATGCAAAGTGGAACAGCCACTCTGGAAAACAGAATCTTAAAAGTTACTCATATACCCAACGTCCCATTCCTAGGTTTTGACCTAGAGAAATTAAAGTTTATGTCCACACAAAACCTATACATAAATGTTGATTGTTGTTTTGTTCATAATTATCAAAACCCAGAGACAACCTAAATGTCCTTCAACAGGTGAGAGGAGAAACAGATTGTGGTTCAGCTGTACGGTAGAATACTACTCAGCAATCAAAAGAAATGATTGATGCATTTGTGTTGGGGTACCCAAGGCCACCTCTTAGAGATTCACTAGAAGGACTTGTGTGATTCAGTGTGTAGTTGTACTCACGGTGAAGGTTTTATTACAGTAGCACAGCAAGGATACACAGCCAGATAATAAGGGGAAAGACACAATTGGAATCTGGAGCGGTCCATGTGTAGGCTTCCTTATGCTTTGTCCCATGGGAGAGTTCAGATTAGAAGACTCAGTATTGTTAAAATGTCAGCTCTCCTTAGATTAATCTACAGACTCAACACAGCCGTAGTCAAAGTTTCAGCAGACTTGACATAGAAGTTGACAAGTTTGGTTTTCAAAATTATGTAGAAATGTTGATTGAGGATTAGGATAATGGAGACAAACTTGAAGGATTTAACTACCTGGTTTTAAGACTTACTATCAAGCTATAGTGATTAAGACAGTATGGTATTGGCATAAAGATAGACAAATACATCAGCGAAACATAATAGAGAATCTAGGAATAGACTAACAAAAACAGTGAGTCTATTTTTGACAAAAGTTCAAAAGCAATTTAATGATAAAGTCTTTTAATTAAATAATGCTGGAACAAGTGTGATCTTTGGGGGGGAGGGGGGAATGATATGGATTACAGACCTAAATGTGAAAAATAAAAAAACATATTAGGAGAATATATTTATGACCTTGGGGTTAGTAACCATTAAAGAGAAATTGGACTTCATCAAAATGAAAAACTTCTCATCAAAAGATACCATTAAGAATGTCAAGAAGCAGGGAGGCAGGTTAGCTCAGGTAGTTAGAGCTCAGGCTCCTAACACCAAGGTTGCAGGTTCAATTCCCACATGGGCTAAAGAGCTGCGCCCTTCACAACTAGATTGAAGACAACTACCTGACTTGGAGTTGATGGGTCCTGGAAAAACACACTGTTCCCCAGTAAAATTTCTTTTAAAAAGTGTCAAGAAGAAAGCTACAAATTAGGAGAAAATGTTTGCCCTACATACATCTGACAAAAGACTTAAATCTGGAATACACAAAGAATCAGTAAGTACCTCAGTTCCCCTGACCCCTTAAACTCAAGCAAGATTAAGTGCAGTGGTGCTCAAACTCAGATGGCCAAGAATTCATAGGACATAGAATAAAGTGGTAGGTGTGTGCTCAACAGGACTTGTGGTTAAAATGACCCAGCTTGGTCTTACTTAAACCTAAAAAGACGAATACATATCTCAGCAACAGAATTCATGAGTGGGCTAGAGTGTCGGCTCCATTATAGCGAGTAGTCAAACTATGTGTCCAGGAATCTGCCTCCCTGTTTTCCTCTGGGATGGCTTAGTTTTCAGACTGACATGGCTGGTCAGTGGCCACAGGCAGCTTCCAGGCACTTGGTGCTCCAACTTGAATTTCTGGTCGTGCTCAGCCTTGTTCTTGCTCTTTACCTAGATATTATGCCAGTCCATGTACCTCAGCACGTTTCTGTCCTACTTCTCCTCCTGGCTTAAACACTACCTCCTTCGGAGGCCATCTCGGAGGTTCTCTCACCTGCATTTAGTTGTTGCTTTGGGCTGTTATCTTGTCTACCCACAGGTTATCATTGCTTTAAGTTACTTCAGTTCCAAGTATCCCTGTAGAACAGCGGTTCTCAACTTGTGGGTCGCAACCCCTTTGGGGGTTGAACCACCCTTTCACAGGGGTCACCGGGTACTCATATGTGGGCATATCTGCATGTGGGCCTGGAGACGGATAGAGGAGCGGTGTCTCGGTTCCTAAGACCATCGAAAATATGTGTTTTCCGATGGTCTTAGGCAACCCCTGTGAAAGGTTGAGAACCACTGCTGTAGAACCTGGCAGAGTGCTGGGCGCACACAGTAGGCTTCATAAATAATGGTAGTTGTTGCGTGCCTGATTTTTTGTTTTTGTTCTTTTTGATTTGACTTATTGCAGCCCATTAGTTGTCTGGCAGGTCCAAATAGTTAAGAATATCGTATTTGTATACTTGTAAGTTACTTAGAAGGAACTTACTGCTTCCTAGTCGCTCTTTGATGACGCTTCATCACCTGTCATTCGTGTTTCTTACACAAAAGCAGTCAGAATAGCGTTGGTGTGGTGGTCACAGCTGCATATGTCTTTCCTTTCAACAATCATTTTGTCTAGAAGCAAGAATACCCCACTTAGAGGGCTTTTAAAACAAGAATTGCTAGGCGTCACCTCCAGAGTTTTTTATTTAGTAGGTATGGGATGGGCTGAAAAATCTGCACTTTTTTTTTTTTTAAGATTTTATTGGGGAATTGGGGGAGGGGAACAGCATTGGAGAATCGAGGAAGGGGAACAGACAGGTAGACAAATTGCTGTTTTGTTCTTTAGTCTAGTTGTGGAGGACGTCACTTCACTGGCCCATGTTGGTATGATCATTGTGCACTTCTCGGGTAAGGCAATTCGTTGCTGGTCATTGGTCAGCCGCTCACTGTGGCTCACAGCAGCTCTCGCCGGCTGCCAGCCGCTCACATAGTTCATGGCAGCCCACTGCAGCCCCGCTGCAGCCTACGCCATCACCAGCAACTCACAGCAGCCCAGCTCCAGGTCGAGCTGTTATTCATCATCTTAGCTGTAGAGGGCGCAGCATCACTGGCCCTTAATGTGGGATCCGAACCGCAGCCCTGCTGCTCAGAGCTGGTGCTCCCAAGCAAGCTCTTAACCAACTGAGCCACTCGGCTGGCCCAAAAATCTGCACTTTTAACAACTGCTCAGGTGATGCTAATGCTAGTGGTCAGGGAACCAGGTTTTGAGAACCAATTTACTAGCAGATTTAAACCTCATTGCACATCAGAATCACCTAGAATCTAACCCCGCTCCTTTTTCAGAACGAGCCTTTGCTCAGCTAAGTAAAAGTGTTTGGAAGCCCTGCTCAAGCATGGTGTTAGTAGGATTTTATGAGTATTTCTAACAATTGGCTCTGTAACAAAGACAAAATTCCTTTACTTCACATCTTCATAGCACCTGTGTGATGAATATAAATGGTGGAAGTATTGGCCAGCTATGTGGTTTGGTGGTTCTAGTTCCCGAAAATAGGTATTCCTGATTCTGTCGCTAAGTCACTCTGGAGTCTTAGCCACATCCCCTAATTTTTCAAAGTCTTGTTTTTTTTAATACCTTTAACATGACAATAAAAACACCTTTCTCATCACAATCATTTCAAGAACCACCAATGGATGCTAAATCTAGATGGGGGGCAAGTTTCATGAAAATTGTTTGTATGGTCTTGAAGTGTTTCCCACAGGTAACTTATTAATTGTAAATAACTATACAGTGGAGAAACAAAATCTCTTTGACTGGGTTATCAAATTTAATATCATCAATGAGGGGAAAGATGAACATCTTGTCTCTAGATGATACAGGGACGCAGCATCACTTATGTAGTCAGACTGATAACACATAACTACAATTAATCATAAGGAAACATTTGAGAAACCCCAAGTGAGGAGCATTCTATTTTTCAAGGGCCTGTATTCTTAAATATGAATGTCATAAAAGATGAAGATTGAGGAACTGTTCCCGATTAACGGAGATTAAAGATCCATGATAGCTAAAAGCGGTATATGATACTAGACGGGGTCCTGGACTGAAGGGGGAAAAGTGCAGTAAAGGATAGGTCACATGACAAATTGGAATATGGTGGTAGATGAGATAAAAAGTATTGTGTCAGTTTTGAAATTCCTGAGGTTGATAATAGTACTGTGGTCATGTGAGATAATCTCTCTATTCTTAGGAAACATACATCGAACAACTTAAAGGTAAAAATATATGATATGTGTAACTTAATCTCAGATGGGTCAGAAAAATACATATGAGAGAGCAAGTGATAACAGCAAATGGAACAAAGATACAGGTGTTCTTTGTACTATTCATGTGACTTTTTGGAAAATGTATTCCAAAATTAAAAAACAAAACACCTCTACTCAGGGTAGTTGTAAAGATTTTTTTTTTAATTTCTAAGAAACCGTTTTCAAAGAGCAGTGCGCTTTACAAATGAGGGTTCGTGTGCTGCTTTGTCTCCATAGCCTCATCTCCGTCTGTGGGCACTGCTGGCGCCTGAGAGCTGGGCGGTCTGCACTGCCCTGATTCGTAAGATGCAGCCTGCCAGCGGGCAGCTTCTCGCATGGGCTGTGCAGTGCTTCACGGGAATGTGACTCAGCCGAACACAGTCTATTGTTATATATTGTACCTTTATCTTTGAAAAGTGTATTTGTCTTTCAGCCCAAAATGGAGTTAATCCTGACTGGGAGAAGAAAGTAATTGAATATTTTAAGGAAAAGCTGAAGGAAAATAATGCTCCTAAATGGGTAAGTTTATTGCTGTTTGTGGAGGGAGAGGGTTGGGCCGACTTCCAGTTGCTCAGTAGAGTAGTAATCCACATATAATTTAAAAATATATAAATGAATGTGTACTGCCTTCTGCTTGAAGTGCTGTTTACTGCCTATGTATTCAAAGATGTTGGTCTCTCGCAAAGTTCAATTCAAGCAATTAAGTGTTTCTGTATTGATGCCTCTAGGTGGCAGTAACTGACCATGCTACTTTTCCAAGACAGAAAAAACATCAGTAGTTGTGAGAGCTTCGATTCTTACTGTCATTTAAAAACAAGTGGCATGTACTAGTTTTAAGAGAAGAGCTCAACAGAGCAAATGCCTTTCCGCTACTTGAAAAGTGTTCTGAAGGAAAAGCATCCTTTATAGTCAAATGTCTTTATACAAACTTGCAAGAACTCCAAAGTGCTTTTGTCTAGCAGTTCTGTTATGTTGACTGTTGAGATTAATTGGCTTCCTAATAGGGCTGAATTTTGTGCGTGTGTGTTGCAATTTGGGTCTGGACATCAAGTCTATGTATGTGTATGAGCTTAATGTTTTATAGACAGAATATCTTTATTAACTTGACTGCTTGTTTTCCTTGAAGGTACCATCATTGAATGAGGTTCCCCTTCATTATTTGAAACCTAACAGTTTTGTGAAGTTTCGCTGCATGATTCAGGATATGTTTGACCCTGAGTTTTACATGGCAGTTTATGAAACGGTTAACCGAAACACAAAAGCACGTGTATGTATTTTTTCCATGGAACTTTCTGTTTATAATTAGTGGTTTTAATTTTTTCTTTGCGTTCTCTATGGTAGATTTGATTCAGATAGAATGATAAAATACTTTTATCCTTTGTTTGGGTTACAGGTTCTTCATTTTGGAAAATATAGAGATGTAGCAGAGTGTGGGGTATGTATTCTTAAGATATATAAAACACTTTTAGAGTTTTTATTACTTTGGTTAATCTTAAATTTATCTATCTTGTGTATAAGTTCAAGAAGTCACATGAAATGTTTTATTTGTCTTTGTTTCTCTGATATATTTTTGATCTAAAAATCTCTTAGAAGGAACATTGTAAATGACAAATTTAATTTCTTTTTCCAATATCTATATACTTGGTTAAAAAAATTACAAGGTATAATAAATGCTTTCAAAATGAAAGTGGAAGATTAACTTAATTACACTTGCTTAATTAAATTTAATTAAATTCTGCCCTTTTTTCCTGGGAGGAAAAAGGTTTTTAATAAGCTTCCTTTGATGAAAGGAAGTAATAGAAGCTCTCTTAAATATCAATAATGGAAGCGGGAAGAAGGCAGAACACTGGCTATAATTCGAGTTGTGAAAGGAATAGTCTTGAGTTAGAAACTTACTAGAAAAGCAATTATAGAGGCACCACAGTATAGCTGCACTTTTTAAAATCGATTTTCTGATAATAGGTGAACAACATGTAGAATTAAATTTCAGACACCTGTTCAACATGCCAGGCATTGTAACTAGGAAAGTTTAAAATTTATTTCTACTTTCACAGTAAAAAAAAAAAAAAAATGATCAGCATGTCAAAATAAATATATTAGCCAAAAATGTCTCCCATATTTTACTTTTTGTGTTTTTCATATGGTTCTATTGAAACAGATGATAATTGTCAATTTTTGGAATGAAAACAAGTAGCACAGGTGGAGATTGACCAGGCAGGTGCTTAGGCAGGCCCTCAGAAGAAAGGTGGGACCTCAGTGGAGTTACCTCCATTCTGGGTCTAGTTCTCTGTTATGCAGATCCACAGCCTCAGTTTAATCAGGTTTTCTAGGGCTTTTTACATTCGGAAGTCTGACGCCTGTTTACTCAAACCTCAAGAGATTGATTTATAAACCCTAATACCAGCCGACTGATTCACAGAAGTTGTTCCTCATTGAATAAAGTTGTTCTAGTTCAGCGGGCCAATCTGGACAGAAGAACAGCCCTAATTTGGAAAGTTACCAGAAAGATTTTATTAAACAAAAGTGTAACTTCCTACAATTATTTAGAGTAATAGACTCGTGAAAGATGGATTTGTTTGATCTTACACATGATGACCTTCAGGTCTCCCAGTGTCTATTTGCCTTTAGAGTGTTTCCATAAGATAAAATGTGATGAGTCTAATGAGTCAACTTGTAAATGCTCCCTGCATGCCTTGTTTAAGGAGCCCTAGGTCATATTAGGCAAATACATGAATACACAACTCTTTCTAGTAAACAGTAATAGAGTGTCACTATAGCTCAGTAATCTCAGCATCTGGAAATAGGAAAATAAAATAGATGTGACTGTCTATCTGTGACACTACCAAAGAGAAAGACAGTTTGTTCTGTGTTGCCAAGAGTAAAAAATAAAAGCACCATGACCAGAAAGGGGGACTTTGGGCCTGGAAAGAAAGAAATAGCAATCTCAGTTTAAATTCTCTCAGGCTCAAACTTGATGTCTCCTGGGTCCTTTTTTCCCCTACAAAATGGAATATACACCTTATTTACTTTTAAGAGGATTTTCCTTGTACTATAAAATTAATATGTTTATTAAAGTAATTTTTTCATGTTACACCTTGGGTCCTTTCTACCTCTTAACATTTTCTAAGCATATATGAAATACAGACTATGCTTTTTTTAGGGAATAATATCTGAGTCTTAAATCTCATTTCAGCTACCTCGTCATGAGTATTTCATTAAATTCCTATTTTACAGGCTAATTCTGATACTTTCCTGTGAAAGAAACAGTAGGATTTACCATGTGCTTTGTCTTTGAAAAAAATAAAACATTCTGTTAATTAAAAAGGATTTAATTTTGTAATGTAGGATGCTGTGTGCTATGGGTTTGAGGGAAGGTAATATATTGATTATTGCATGTGAAGTCATTTTATGTCAGTTTTCTTTAAAAATTAATAGTTTGGATTTAGTAGTTGCTTGTTAATTAACTCAATGAAATATTTACTATGGTTTTATAAATAACATGAAAATGTGGTTGCTAATTTTTTTTTTAAAACTGTTTTTCTTAATAAACTTTTAAAAATACTTTTTGTGTACATCACAGCCTCAACAAGAAGTTGATTTAAACTCTCCACGAACTACCACTTTGGAAAGACAGACTTTCTATTGTGTTCCAGTGCCTGGGGAATCTACGTGGGTAAAAGAAATATCCTTTATCTGAATTTTATGTGTTGAGTGGTTCCTGATTATTTTCTTAATTGAAAAGACCATAATTTAGAGTTTGAGTTTTTAAAAACTTAGTCTTTTTACCACAGTGACGCTAGCTGGGAAAAAACCTATAAAACCACCTAAATATTCATCAATGAAAAACGATAAAATTATGGTACATTCTCATAGTGAAATACTGTTTAAAAGATTGAGGTAGATTTAAAGATACTGAAAAAGAGAGCACCATGATAATTAAGTACAAAAAATTTCAACTAATTCTACTTAAGGGAAAACAATATGTTGCTTCTTTTGAGAGAAGATTGTGGAAACATCTTTGCCTTTTGAAAACAAATTTTTAGTTGGTAATTTTTTTAGGCATAATTCACATACACTAAAATATATAGATTTTAAAGTGTAAACACTTTCGTGGTTTACACCCCAAAGTAAACAACTTGTGCCAGAAAGTTCCCTTCAGCCTTTTTCTAGTCAGCAGCCCTCCTTTGCAACCACTGTCCTGATTTCTTTCACTATAGCTTTGTTTTATCTATTCTATTCTTTTTTAAGATTTTTATTGGGGAATTGGGGGAGGGGCCCAGCCAAGTTGTTGTTCTTCAGTCTTCGTTGTAGAGGGTGCCAGTCGCCATCTGGTTTCCCGTTGGCAGCTCGTGGCCTCTAACCTCAAGGTGCTGTGTTCAATCTTAGTTGCGGGTGGGCGTAGCCACCATCCCATGCGGGAGTTGAACCAGCAGCCTTGTTGTTAAGAGCACACCCTCTATCCACTGAGCCATCCGGGTGGCAGCTCAGCTAAAGGTACCAAGTTCAGTCTTAGTTACGCCTCAAGAAATCTTGTATCTATCCAAAGATCTCAATGGAACCAACTCCTTTTCCTCTGGTACTGTTCTGCAAATTCTTGTGGCTTTAGTAGCTCTGAACCATGTGCTGTGTTTTCTCTACCCAGCAAGAGCAGGTCCCTCATTTCTCTTTGTTGCAGTTTAGAAAATGCCCCTAAGAGAGGGCTAGGGGCAAAGTGGAGTTTACTCGGTATGTTACTTCTCATTCGAGGATCATAACCTTATATTCCCTGTTGCCCAATGACTGAAAACAGTTGCTTCATGTCTTTTGTACAGTATCACAGTTCTTTACAGCTGGGGTTGGGGTGTAAAGTTGAGCTGTTACTCTCATGACCAAAACTGAAGTCCAGCTTTCTTTTAAAAAGACATTTTTATTTTAACCAAATTGCTAAATTAATAATCTTTTATTAGTCATATAATTAGCATAACTTAGGCTATTCCTCAGTTCATGGTAGTCTTTTCTTAACTTTTCATTTAACGCCTATATTAATGCAAATCAAGCTCGAGTCAGTCCTTCAACATCCTACACTCCCAGTCGTCACAAGAGGAGTTATGAAGATGATGAAGACATGGACCTACAGCCCAATAAACAGAAAGACCAACATGCAGGTTCCAGACACACAGGTAGTGTGTGCTAGTGGGCTTCCTTTAGGCTGCGGCTCTCTCTCCATGGGTTTGTTTTCAGGATTCATTGTTGCAGGATACAGCTCTAGTCATTTGACAGGCAGTGATTTGACAACCTTGCTTCCATGGTTCTCAGAATTATAGACAATTCTGAGTCTTTACAGTTTGGTCAGGCTGTGTGCTATAATTGAGCAATTAGGAGTCACTTAGAAGTGGCGGCTCTCCTGTCAGTTTTTTTGTTTGTTTGTTTTTAGCTGAGCCATCCTGCCACCTGTTGGCAGCTCAGCGGCTGCTCAGCTCAGGCTGGGACTCGAACCGCTGTTGCTCAGAGCTCAAACTCTTGAGTGAGCTCTTAACCAACTGAGCCACTCGGCCGTCCCCTCTCCTGTCAGTTTTTAAGGGTCTCAAGTGGTTAGCTGAAAAAGGTCTTTTTCTTTATTTTTATCTCTGTTCTTAAGTAATATGGAAGCATAGTACTTTATCCTTAAAATGATTTATGTATATTTGAAAACATCGTTATTTTCTTTTTGGAATAGTGATACTTTTATTTAATTTAGTAAGACTGAAAATACCAGGAAAAACATGAAGTTGTGATACACAAGATTACTTATTCCTAAACTTTAAAGCAGATAACCCTTCTGTTCTATTTACATATGTTTGTAGTGGCTTATTTCTTAAAACATGCTTAAAACACAACTAATTCTGATTAAAACAAAGAGACCAAAAGTTGAACTTTTCTAAGAGCATGAGAGAATTTCAGAATTGGTATATATCATTATTGATTTCACCACGGTTTTGATGCACAGTGACTTTCTTTATTATGGCAGGTAGATAAGTGTGTCTTTATTCTCCTTTTATGTTCAGTCACTTTAGCATCTTTAATCAGAGGGAGAGGAGGTAAAACAACTTAGTCTAGTTAATTGGTCTCTGGAAGATTGGGTTGAGAGGGCAAAAAAACAGTCAGTAGTAAATAGAAAATTCTTTTTTTTTTTTTTTTTTTTTTTTTT